TGAAGAGTATTCAGAAGCTAACGCCTACTGTTGGTGGTGCCAGTCTGTTTCCTGATCCAATTCAATGTGTTGTTATCACTTTTAAAGCCATTGTGGCATGGTCCAGGAGGATTGGCTCCTCTCATTCACTCCAGCAGAAGAGGGCTACTTTGGGTTATGTCTGCCAAAGAACTTTGGCTGGCGGGATTCAGGGGAAGTTCCTTTTCTGCTGTATACCCCCCCCCCCAAAAAAAAAATTCTCCTGTCAGAGGTGGGGGTCGGCCTCCACACTCGTGGTCTGCAGGAAGCACCTTAAAACCTGGCTCTGCTAATTGGCTCGGTGCCCCAGTAGCAATGCTCTATGGTATGGGTGGCTGAAGAGAAGATCCCCATTCCTACGTCACCTTTCTTGTTGGTTTTTAATCTTTAATAGTTCATAGTTTTAATTTTTTGTATTTTTATCTTGTTAGCATTTTGTAAGCTGCTCACTTGCAGCAGCAGTGAAATGGGCTGCATATAAATTTAATTAAATAAATGCATACTTAAAAGAGTTGATTAGTGCAATCCTGAACATGACAAAGGAGGGAGTAGCGCCTCTGATGCTTGAATGCCCTTTGCTAATGTGAAGATGGCACAGGTTGGGAATACACAAGATTATTGTGTAACACTAGTAATGTAACAGTAATATGTAATATTAGTAATGTTTGCTAAAAGTTTTGTTTTAAATCTATGAATTTTCATCAAAATACCCACATCTACATCACAGATTTTGGTATAAAGAGGTTGTGCATTTATTAGTTGTTTGCTAAGTAATTGCTCTTTTCATCATACTGAGTTTTTCAACTGTCTGTGTTTCGTAGCCCAATAAGTCAGTGGTTCCAAGATGGTACCCAAATTGTAGACGATCGCACAATTTACTCAGTCAATAATAAGGAGCGGACCTTCACCATCAAGAGTGCCAACCCAGATGATAATGGCCTTTATTACTGTTGTGCTCGGAATGCTGTGGGCACTGTATGCAGCCGAAACAACTTCACCCTCAATATTATAGGTAATTGGCATTTGTGCTCTTACAAGTGTCTAATCTTGAGAAAGTCTCAAGTGTTTTTGTGCTGAATATACGTCATGTTGGCAATCTGTTGATTCAAGCGGATTCTGCCTGTTTTATTTGGGGCCATTCCCTTCAGTTTAGTCTCTCTTTTATCTCCCCTCAGCCCTTTTTTTGGCTACAAGAAAGGCTGGAATTCCAATTTGAACAACCCAGTGTTTCTTGTTTTTAAATGTGTTGGTCAACTTCTGGTTTAGAAAGCTTGATGCCATGAAACTAACCAGTTTCTTTCTGGATTAATCCTGTAGTTAAAACCATAATTGAAAGAACTCAGCTCTTGTAATTCTGTAGCTTCTGTGGTTGGGAATTCCCTTCCCAATGGCTGCGACTCTCGGGGAAGCCTTATTGTGTATTAAAGCTGAATGGACAGTGGCATAGCACAAGTCTGTTCCTGTTGCATAGTAAGGGTATGCTGTGGGGGCAAGAAGATTAAGAGTGGCTTGGTTTTTTGCTGGCTCTGGGGTGGGAGAGGGAACATGGCAAAGCAGACATGTAAATTGAAGGGAAAAAAATTGCTTTGAAAGAGAATCCAGATGATGAATTGATTTATTCTATTCCTTTTCCCTGTCAAAGATGAAAGTTTCCCCCACCCAGTGATAGTTCCTGAGAACCAAATTGTCAATAAAAATGAGGAGGCTATGTTCCATTGCAAGTTCCAGGCTGTGCCACCACCTACCCAAGAATGGCTATTTGAGGATGACTCCCCAATTCAAAATCGTAGCAGGTAAGTAGCTCATTTAAAAATAAAAGACTGTGGGGATAGAGAGTCACGTGGCAGGTATATTTCCTTGGAATAAAAATGAATTGCTATTATTTTTTGGTACTGATCAATGATCTGTCGGGCTGCTTATCTGTTACTATAGGCAAGGCCTTCGGGATTCTCTCAACAATGAGAGAATCAGTCACATTACATTTGGCAGAAAGATGGATCTGCTGGTGGCCAGAATGGTTTCCAGTTCTTAAAAATTACTCAGCATTGCCTATTTATCACTTTAACACTAGTCGGTTGTCTATAGCAGTAAATACTGTGGCGAAGGTTGTCAGAATAGTGAATAGTGCTACTTTATGGAGGCATCCATCATTGCTGTAACTATCTTTTCGTTGTATCAGCTCAATGCATCTTTTCTCCCTGTTCTTTCAAAGGACCATCATATTTTCCAATGGCTCTTTACTAGTAACTCAGGTGAAACCACGCAGCGTTGGAATCTACAAATGTGTTGGCCGTGGACAAAAAGGAAAACCTGTAATCCTGGAGGCAACCCTACAACTAGCAGGTATGGGCTTGTATCTCACAGAGATTCTGTGGAGTTTGGTAAGTTTTGGGCTGAAGGTTCTTTGTTTTGCCATACTTTCAGGGTGGGAAGAGCTAGCTACCCTGAAATTTGGGTACCATAAAAATGATAAGTTGTTGGATACTGTCATATTCAGATATGTAATTAAGACTTATCCTAACGCATTTAGCCCAAATCACGTATCAACATTGCTGGATTCTAAAATATACATTTTGTTTTTTCATAGAAATTGAAGATTTTTCTCAAGTATTTAACCCCAAAATTGTCATAGCCAATAAAGAGCAACGTGTAACCTGTGTGGCTCCTCGTGGGATCCCTGAACCCCATATTTGGTGGGAGAGAAACAATGTTCGTATCCCCACTACTGGGAGAGTTCACCAAGAAGCAGGGGACCTTGTCTTCACCACTATTGTAGAAAAGGATACTGGAATATATACTTGCCATGCAATGAACAAGGCTGGAGAAAAAAAACAAGATCTTTCCATTTCAGTAGCAAGTAAGTTGGTTCTATTATGAATATGTTGAGAGAACAAAAAGTGTAGTGAATTTTCAATATTCTTTGAGTTGGGATGGTAAAGAGAAGAAAAATTCACTCTAAAACTTTTGAAGAGAACTTGGGCATCAGGAATGACATGGCTAGATTATCAAAGCTAAATGAATCTGGTGCCGTAACTTAGATTTATGGTCTTTATCATTCTGTCAATTTGGCTTAGGACTTTTTTCAAGAAACAAATGAAAGGGTCTCTTCAGAACGCCCATATAGGATGGCATACAATGCTACCAGAATCTTCTGCTATTAAGTCACTTCTGATTAGTAATCTTTCTTTTTCTTCTGTCTCTTTCCAGCAAAGCCAGAATGGGTGGAAAAGCCCAAGGACAGTCAGCTAGAGGAAAGCAAACCAGGATACCTTCATTGTCTCAGTAAAGCCTCTCTCAAGCCCACTGTCAATTGGTTTCGTAATGGCAATCCTATTTCAGAGGTAAATTATCAAAGGATGTTTTACTATCTGATGGAACAAGTGGTCTACTATTTTTCTGCTAAATCTTTACTCCTTTTTGTTATACTTTTAAGGCATCTCAGGCTTCCTCTCCTACTAATACAGTTCTCATAAATGCTTCCATTATATTGAGAGTATAACTTTTTGATTGTACTTTAAATTCTCTTGAGTTAATATTATATTTCTGTATTTTGACATTGACATGTGCTTGTCTCTAAATCACAGTGGTTAGAATGCAATATTGCAGGCTAACTCTGCCCACAGCCTAGAGTTTGATCCTGATGGGCTCAGGGTTGACTCAACCTTCCATTCTTTTGATGTTGGTAAAATGGGAACCCAGGTTTTGGGGGGGAAATATGCTGACATTGTAAACTGCCCAGAGAGTGTTGTAAAACACTATGAATGGGGTGAGATATAAGTCTAAACACTATTGCTAAATCTAGATTTCTATTAACTTTCACATGGACCCATGTGAATGAGCCTCCTCCAGATCTTTCTCAATTGTAGTTTTCTCAAAATGCCCAGAGAAGGTGTGTAGACTGAGCTGTGCTTCAAGGAAATTATTTGATAGAGAGTTATAATAGTAGACAGGGCTTTTCTGACTATGCCTGTCTAGCTGTAGCTGTACCTTGGAGCATGTTCCAATCCAAAGAAACTTGCCATCCTGGTTGGCTGGTACTTTCCCAAAACAGAAAGTCTTTCTGTTGCTGAAGTTGACAGAGAATAAATGATGAGAGTTGTGCCTGATTTTCTCTTCTGTTTTTCCTTGCTCGGATAAAATCAATAGAGAATTCTGGGAAAATACAACTGATAGACATGAAACCTATCAGAGCATGTATGGATATATTTAGGACTGTATCTAGCTTATCATACATTCATGTGTATCAAATATGTTGTTTGGGAAAGGGGTATGTGTGTACCCACAACAAAGCCAGCCCACACACATATTTCGTTGTGATTGACCCAAAATAATTCACTAATCGTGTTACCCCGTGCAGTTTCTATTCTCTCTCACATACATGCATATTCATTTAAACAAGTGTGTGGTCTTGCAGTTAACAGTGGAATATGTCCTGTGGTTTTATAAATCAGATTCCATTGGCTTAATCCCATTATGCAATTAAAACCTTTTCATAAAACTGTAACAAAAGGGAGATGAACTTAAGCATCTGACACAGTGCTTAAAAAGCAATTATTGGAAGTCTCCATTTTAATTCTCTTCTTTTTCTGTGTACGCGATACATCTGAAAATGGAGTCTTATTCTTGCAGACAAGAACTGACTAGAACCTAATTGCAGAGGGGAAAGTGTGCTGGGTAGGAACCAGACACTTATGGAGGCACCTTTTAGCTTTCTGTTTGAGATCAAAAAAGGCTGTAGGTTGGATTGACACTAATTTACCTATAAAGCAATGTTTCAAGATTTCTGTGTTACACTTTTTGTGTGCTAATATAAGGATTTGGTATTTGAGACTGGGAGTTAATAGTATTTTAATTATTTACATTTTGCATTCTCTTTTGTGTGATGTGTGAAAGCTGTTTTAAATCAACAGCTACAGTCTGCTACCCACTAGGAACAATTTGAGCATATAGCATACACAAAAGCACTTTGTAACAGTGTTGTGTTTGATGTAGAAGCTCAATGTAGTCATGCTTTATGTTTTCACAATTTTCATGCTGGGCAGGATTCCCGCTTTGAAATTGCTGAGAATGGGACACTGCGTATTAACAGTGTGGAAGTGTACGATGGAACAATATTCAAGTGTGTAAGCAGCACTCCAGCAGGAAGTATTGAAGAACACGTCCGTGTACATGTTCTGGGTATGTACTAACATTAAGGCCTTCGCTTATTGCATGTGAGATTATGTCTATCTGTATTTGTTAGTTTAACCTCAAATCATGTAACATGGAAACATATGCAATATATGTGTAAAATACAAATTATCAAGACAACCAAGCACCATAACAAAGCAAGCTAAAGGGAGCCCTTCTCAACTGGCCCCTTGTGGTTGGTGGTGGTGGTGGGAATCCAGCTCTTCACAATTTTCCTTTCCTAAAGACAATCAAGAGCTGGAGCCTGTCATATATATTTGAGGGGGGGGGGATCGTTCCAGAGAACGATCCACAAACCACAGAAAAGAGCACCTTCAAAATCCAATAAGATGGCAAGATTTAATGTGTCTGCCTTGAAATTGAGAGTCTTTATAGACCTTGAAATTTCTTTTGGCCATACTCACATCTCTGCAATCCATGGAAAGAAAGCTTTCTTGCAGAAAATTTAGGAATGTATTCTTTAGATGTTTTACTTGTCTCTTTAAGCCTCTGACAAATGCAATTTCATTTCAGAAAAGCTGAAGTTTACTCCTCCGCCTCAACCCTTGCAGTGTGTTGAATTTGATAAAGAAGTCACTATTTCCTGCTCAGCTACAGGGCGAGAAAAACCTGCAATCCATTGGATTAAAACCGGTACAATCTAAACATTGAAGGTTATGGGTGGGGCTGCAAGTTACACAATTTTTGCTTTTTGCAATAGATTTAATTACAAGAGACATCTTTAACTTTTGCTTTGGAAAGAAATCCAATTAAATTGCCTTTTAGATTTGCCTTTTATCTTTTATTAATGTAGTTTTGAAATAAAGTACTTCCCACATCTATTCGATGAACTAAATTTTCCCAGTATAGCTTTCTGCAACTTGGTATTCTGCTGACTGGGAATTGGGGGAGTTGTAATCCAAACTGGGTGACACTGGATTAAGTACAATGTATCTGTTCAAGTCTTTGCTTCCTATTTAGTGCCCTCTGCTACTTATGATCCAGCTTTGAATTTATTATTTTTTTGCTCCTGGCCAGATGGGAGAAATCTACCAACCTGGGTCAGTAACAATTCTGGAAATCTGCACTTTCATAAAGTGACCCGGAGTGACGCTGGAAACTATACATGTATTGCTTCCAATGGTCCACAAGGAGAGATCAGAGCAACAATTCAACTTACAGTGGCAGGTAAACATTGGATGACAGAACTCCACGTATCGCTGGCATGATTAGCAATATGAATGACCTGTTTAATTCTCTACAAGTCTCTGTGGGTCTTCAGCCCATTTATTTTTTTTCATATTACAGGTAGTTCTCGACTTACAACCATTTGCTTAGTGACCATTCGAAGTTAAAATGGCACTGAATAAAGTGACTTATGATTTTTTTCGCACTTATGACCATTGCTGCATCCTCATGATCACATAATTAAAATTCGAATGCTTGGCAACTGGTTCATATCTATGATGGTTGTAGCATCCAGGAGTCATGCAAGGTTTTGCAATCTTCTGATGAGCAAAGTCTGTGGGCAGGATATGTTGCTAACTTAACAATTGCAGTGATTCACTTAACAACTGTGACAAGAAAGGTGGTAAAATGGGGCAAAAGTCACTTATACTTGTAAATTGAGGACTACCTGTACCATCATGCATGCATGTAGGATATGCTCAATCTGTAAATGAAATGTTCTCTATCTCTAAATGCTAAGACAAGAGACTTAAATTACTGTTAAGGCATCTCAGGTAATAAAATACACGGGGAATGTTTGGGGTGAAGAGCATCTTTGTGAGCCTTGATGAGAAAATTGGGAAAATGGTTTTCTCTCCTGCTCCTCATAATTGCCACCATCTGATAATATGGTGAGTGTAACGGTCTCTGCTAGCTTGATGTTTGAGCATAGTGTTCTTCAAAGACAGCTGGTCTCTCCTCAATGGTACCAAGAAACACCAGAGTCCAGTGGTGTGTCAATGGTTTCCTTTTCTCCTTTTAGTGTTTATAAGCTTCAAACTGAGGCCGGATGACACAACCGTATATCCAGGACACACAGCCATGTTTCAGTGTCAAGCTGAGGGTGACCCATTGCCACAAATCCAGTGGAAAGGAAAGGATAAGATTCTGGATCATGATGAATTTTCACCCAGGTATGGCTCTTTTTAGTCCCCTTTGGCTGATTAGTTTACTTAAAATGTTAAATGGATAAATAAATGTCTGAGAATGAATATATATATATATATATATATATATATATATATATATATATATA